AAAAATTAAACTTTTTGTGTTTTTTTTACAGTTTTTGCAATAATAATGTGTTCATAATTAGTGCAGGTTAAGGAAAGTAATTAAAAATAAATTCATTTAGTTGTCCTGATTTACAGAATATATAATGTGTCTGGGATTTAAAGTTTTTTTTGGTAGTTACAGGTCACAAAGCACAAGGAGTAAAATAAACTTTTTAATGTGGAGCGATTTTAGAATTTGGTATGTTTGTCTTGTAAGCTTCATAGCCATAAAAGAAAACAAAATTGTCACACAAAAGTATATATTTATAGAAAGTAGACATCACGGGCTATTTACCTAAGGTTGTTTTGACACTTTATACGTAGCCATTTCACAGCAAACCTCTGCTAAATATTGGAGTAAAATTGTGTTTTATTTAGTTTTTGGCACACAAACTTATAACAAAGAACTTCTTGTGTGTATTTTGTAAAGTTGGTGTGTGCTATTCCTGTACAAAGTTTTATTTTGTGTTCAGTTACATCTGCTGAGTAAAATGACACCCCCATTGTATGTCTTTGGCACTATTTCATGAAGCTACAGTGCCATATAGGAGACCTGTCCTTTTCAGTACTCACAGTAGAATTTTGAGAGACGGATTTAATGAGCCTATGCTTCCGTTTGGGGTATTATAACAGTTTGACTGTTCAAAAAAACCCCACAAAGGCCTACCATTTGTAAAAGTAGACACTCCAGGGTATCTCATAAGGTGCATATTGTGCCTTAACAGGCCCCCATTTTTTCACCAATAAATGCCAAAGTATGTGGTAAAAAAGAATTTTGTGCGTTTTTTAAATATGGATTGCATGTTTGCTGGGCATTTTGTTTTTTTAACATGTGCCACTAAGTTCAAACCCCCCAAATTATGTTCTGCTAAGTCTTCTGAGTAAAAGGACACCCCCATTGTATGTCTTTGGCACTATTTCGGGAAGCTAAAGTGCCATATAGGAGACCAAGCCATTTCAGTTTTTAACCGAATTTGAATTTTGACGCTAGGCCTATGTGCAATTTCCAAGCATCTTAGCAGGTTTTAAATTCAAACTACCCCACAAAGGCCTACCATTTCTTAAAGTAGATACCCCAGGGTATTTCAAAAGGTATATTCTAAACCTTAGTGTAGGATAATTTTTGTTAGTTTGTACCAAGTCTAGTTGCAATTAGCATTGTTTCTGCCCTTTTGACACACACTTGGAGATGTTACTGTATATTTTGCTATCCTTATGTGTCCTAAGGCAGTGTAACACCTAATATGTTGCTCAGCTATGTCATGTTAGTGCAACGATAACCTAATGTGTACCTTTCTCAGGGTTATGTGGATGTTGAAGCGGCACATTGGAGACACACCACTTCCATATTTTTCAAAAGTGGATGCTGTGCCCAAGTCTCATTGTAGCAGCTCAGGACTGCAAATTGCCTCTCAAAGGCCACATAGATTTTTAAGTATAAGCAGCTCATCAATTCAAATTATGAACAAGTGCATACTATTTGCTGTGAAAAGGGGGAATAGTTGGGGTAAACTTATCCGGGGGTAGTACCCAGTCATCTGCATCCCGGGCAAAGCTGTCATGGATTCCGAAACCAAAACACAGACAAACAGACCACAAAGAGAGAGAACACAGAGAGAAACTTGTAATACCGGTCCTTAGAATGACCGGGCTATACAAGCAGAGAATTGTCAAGGTACAAGCCGAGGTCAAAGGAGTAAAGAGAAACGGAACAACGATAGGACAAGCCGAGGTCAAGGAACAGAGAAGACAAGATAAGCGGGAGACAAAGCCAAGATTCGGTTACCAATCAGACAGATGACTAAAAAAAAAATCACAACCCAAAACTGGTCTACTTATTCGGCTTGGGTGTGAAAAAATTTAAAACAGTGGCCAATGCATAGGCCGGGCTGAGAGGGGCAGTCTCAGCTCTTACGCCCCTCTTGTAACACACCCTGCACCTTTTCTGGGGGTTTTGTTTTTTAGGGGTTGGTGGAATCTTAAAGCAGAAGTGACCTGCCTCCATTCTTCTGCTAGGCTCCACTGATGGTCTCCTTGTGTGGCACTCAAGTAGCCCAGTAATGAGGTTAAACTGGAACGAAAGAAAGGATATATTCAGCCCAGCATTTGCCTTTTTGAAAATGACAAATGCATTGTGTATTGCCATCTGCATCAGGTATATGCCCACTTTTTTTATACCATGCCCTGGTCTTACGCATGATCAAATACGGCTGCATCAGTTGATCGGACAGGTCAACGCCCCCCATATGCCGATTATATTGCCGTATGCAGACTGGCACTCATTTGCATTCCTCTCTGCCACGAACTGCGACCCTCCGAGTGTTTTCACCATGAATGGTGGTTAAGATGAAAACATCCTTTTTGTCCCTGGATTTGAGTGCCAGCAGTTCATTCTGGCAGAGAGCTGCTGTTGCTCCCCTTTTAATTTTTTTGTTTGCCAGAGCCTTTGGGAAACCTGTGCGAGTTTTTCGAATAGTGCCACAGGCCACGGTCTCAAAGCAGTATAACATTTTTAACAGTGTGATACTATTGTAAAAGTTATCAATGTGTAAGTGATAACCATAGTTAAGTAAGGGCATTATTAAATCCCAGACAATTTTCCCACTTGTCCCTACTATATCTGGGCAACCTGGGGGATCAAGGTGGCTATCCCTTCCTTCGTATACACGGAAGGTGTATACGTAGCCACTGCCACTTTCACACAGCTTATAAAATTTGATCCCATATCGGGATCTTTTGGATGGGATATATTGTCTAAATCCCAGTCTTCCCTTGAATTTCATGAGGGACTCATCAATGGAAATGTTTTTATTGGGGGTATATAAAGTGGCAAATTTATGGTTAAAGTGGGCAATTAAAGGGCGGATTTTATAAAGAAGATAATACTGCGGATCACCTTTTGGGGGGCACTTGCTATTATCACTAAAGTGCATAAATCGCAGTATGTCTTCATATCTTTCCCTCGGCATTGACTCGGCAAAAATGGGGGTATTGCAAATAGGATGTTTAGACCAATACATCCTAATTGTGGGCTTTTTAATTAGCCCCATTAACATGGTCAGTGCCCAGAATTGTTTCAATTCTGGCACACTGGTTGGGTTCCATCTCTCTTTCCTGGAGATAAGAGAGTCTGGATTGCGTGCCAGATACTGCTCCGCATAGAGATTAGTCTGGGTGACTATCTCCTCAAAAATCTCATCCCCCAAGAAGAGCTGCATAACATCCAGCGCACTATAGCCAGACAGGTCAGCCTGTATGCCAGGATTGGCTGTAAACACTGGGATGTCTGGGGAAAAATTATTAGGGGGTACCCAGTCATCTGCGCCATGTTCAGCATTAGGGGAATCAGCGATTTCCCCTGATGGTCCTGCAGTATCTGGCACATAGTCCCCTGCGTCCCCTGCGTCACTCTCTGAGGCAGTGTCTGTCGCCTCTGAGTCCGCCGCTAACAGGGCATAAGCCTCTTCTGCGCTATACTTCCTAAACATTTTTAAATACAGTTAACAAAGCTAACAAAACTTTAACTAAATAACTAAAAAAAAAATGTTTATTTTTTTTTATTCCCTAATTCCCACTAAATTCCACCCACCCAAGTAACTAAATCGTACACTAATAAAATCAAATAATAAAATTTAACCCCTTAGGGTTAAAAAAAAACCAAAAGTTAACCCTTAAAAGTAAAAAAAAAAAATATCACAGTAAAGTACTGTGACCTGTATATTGATCACTGCTAGCAGTGATCAAACAGCAGGGAAAGGGTTAATTTTTTTTTTTTAGACAGGGGGAAGGGGTAGGAAATTTTTATTACAACTTAGCTAATATTCAGGGAAACAATGTAGCACCGATCCGTCTCTCTCCACTTCACAAACCCACAAGAGGTGGAGGGAGGCGGATCAGATGTCCCAGCAGCATTGTGACCGCTGTGACTGGCTGTCACAGCGATCACATGGACTGGGACATCGTGATTTGCTGTTGCTGGTCTGCCCCTGACTCGGAGGCACCCAGCAACAGCATTAACCCCGCGATCGCCGGCACCGCGGCGATCCGGGGTTAATTTTAACGCGTGACGGACGAGGTCCGTCACTCGTCATTAACGCTTTCCCCTGAGTGACGGACCTCGTCCGTCACTCGTCCTTAAGGGGTTAATGAGAAGAAAGTTGCAGATCATAAAGAATTGCAACAGTTAGGCTGTGATAGAGTTACTCCATATGGTGGAGATCTAGTGTCACCTGCGTATACTGTGCGTGGATCTGGCATTAGTATAATGATCTTTAGTCAAGTGGAACCCACTTGTTGGAATTTTCAGATCGTTTTTCATCGAAAATAAAGTTTCAGGAGTATTATATTTATTTTTAGTTTCTCGATTATGCCGTGGCTTGAGTTAGAGGTGTTTGTTTAATTTTGAAGAGACATTGTATGAGCTTCTTGTTGTTAACCAAAATTGGCAGGACCAGTGGTTCCCAGAATTTTTTAGGTTCAAGGCGCCTTTAATATTTTAATAATTTTTTAAAGTACCCCAAGTCAAAATTTCTAGGTTGTATATCTGTGCAGCACTGTGGCATTTACTGGCGCTATAGTGTAATGCATAGTGTTCATGTTTGAAGGGTTGCTTGTATATAGTTCTAGTGTTCTAATACAGGGGTGTGTTTGTATGTAATGTTAACTTTTAAATGTACATTTGTGTGAAGTATTTGTGTGAAGTATGTAATATTTGTGTTAACTTGCAAGAGTGTGTTTGTATGTTGTGCTGGTGTTTAACTGCTTGGTTGTATGCACATACACTAAGACATACATACATACATACTTACACAGATATACATGCATATAAATACACCGACACATACACACAAATTCATATAGACATCGACAAATACACACACCCCCTGACACACACAAACATTGATACATGCACACACCATGACCCAGATACACACACCCTGACACACAGATGTACATACACAGATGCACATCCTGACACACAATGTGTGCACACACAGACGTGTGCGCACACGCAGGCACACAGACGTGTGCGCACACGCAGGCACACAGACGTGTGCGCACACGCAGGCACACAGACGTGTGCGCACACGCAGGCACACAGACGTGTGCGCACACGCAGGCACACAGACGTGTGCACACACGCAGGCACACAGACGTGTGCGCACACACAGACAGTCATACACACACATACCCTGACACACACTAATATACCCTGACGCACACTCACAATATTTTTTATATCTCCAGCCACCATCCTGTTAGCTTACCTTGTATGTCCTGCTGGCTAGTGGGAGCGAGGGGTTTGGAGCAGCTCCTGGAATGCTCCTCTTCCCTCATGCTGTGGCTGCCTCTTCTCCCTCCTGCACCTTCTTTCTGCACGAAGCTGGGAGGAAGTGACAGGCTGCCCTTACTATTGTTTAACCCCATGGCGATCCAACTGTGTTCGTGAGATCTGAGCGCTTTTCGGATATTTTGAGCGCTCAGATCCAAGGTATCTGGGGAAATGTTGGACATATAGGTTAAACATTGTATTATATGAGTTATGTATTTTTATGTGGTTTTTGTAACAGTATTTGGACTTGGAGATATTTTCTGTACCTGGAGATAATTGGCTTACCACACCCACTTAAGCCAATTATCTCCAGGATAGTGGAGAAGATAGACTGGCTGCACAGCCTAAATCTGTGGAACTGTTTTGGGCATGAAAGCCATGCTTGCAGTCGGTCAAATGTCACTTCCATAAAACCTTTGAACCCCTGCTCTGATCTGGGTGATTTTTGGATATGTTGTTCACCCAGATCAGGGCTATCCAGTGATGTATAATTTATGGTGGCATGTTGTTGTTTTGGGGTGTTTCTGTGTTTTGGGTAAAACTGGATATTTTCTTCCTGTGATAATTAGGTTAGCCCATTGTGTTCAGTAATTATATCACAGGCAGAGGGGAGGGTTTGTGTTCCTTAGCTGTGAGTGTCTGACTGTACTGTACTGTGTTGATTGGCTGTTGTAACTTTGTGTCCTGTGTACCACAAGGTCCACGTGGGTGGTAACCTTGTGGGAAAATGTGTATATAAGAAACAATAAAGCCTCCGTTAATTCTGTTCCTGCTTACACTGCAAAACTGTGTGTCGTCCTGTTATTGGAGGGAAAGAAGGCTTGCTCTTGTGTCTGCTGTTCCAGCTTACAGGAGATTCACCATAGAAAGTCCTTGTAAGGACTAGAGATAATTCCCCATTCGGCTCCAGGGAGGAGCAGTTCCAGGGCCCCAGTCCAGCCACGGTCGACTGTGGGCAGAAGTGCTGTGGTGTTTCCCCTGTTCCAGGTAGGAAGCGGTCCTTTGGCGGAGGTACCCAGACGGGATACAGGGAGCTCCGCTACAAATTATTTTACTTATCCGAATTTCCGAACTGTACAAATTTTTTTGCCCAAGCACATTCCTAATATCCTTCTTTAGAACAGGTGCCGAGAATTGCACTGCATATTCAAGATGTGGTCTTACCAGCGATTTATAAAGAGGCAGAATGATATTTTCATCCCGAGAATTAATGTCCTTTTTCATGCATGACAATACCTTACTGGCCTTAGCCCCTGCTGATTGACATTGCACATTGTTGCATAGTTTGTTGTCTATAACAATTCCCAAGCCCTTTTCGTGTGTGGTTATCTCTAATTTACTTCCATTATGGGTATAAGTTGATTGCGCATTCTTGACGACGAAGTGCATAACTTTGCATTTTTCAACATTAAATTTCATCTGCCATTTGAGTGCCAAGTCCCCCAGTCTATCTAAATCCCTCTGCAGCAAAGTAATATATTGCTCACATTGTATTATTTTACAGAGTTGTGTGTCATCTGCAAACACTGAAACATGACTTTCAATTCCTTTTTCAAGATCATTTATAAAGATGTTAAATAGAAGGGGTCCCAGAACAGAACCCTGAGGGACACCACTTGCCACCTCTGTCCAGCTTAAAAAATGTACCATTAATCACAACTCTTTGTACTATATTTTTAAGCCAATGTTCTACCCAAGAACAAGCATTTTCATCTAGACCGATTTCTTTGAGTTTGAACACTAATCTATTTTGTGGAACTGTATCAAACGCCCTGGCAAAATCCAAATAGATCACATCCACGGCAACACCCTGATCTATACTTTTACTTACTTCTTCGTTTTACATTGCAGGGTTAAACCTACAGGAATGCAGTACCCAGGATACTTCATTGAAATGAAATTTCATTTTGGTCCTTTAAAAGAAAATAGATTCTCATGAAAAAAGTTTCAGGTTATTTTCAAAGTTTCTCTTAGTGGTGTAAATACGAAAGAGGTAACAGTTACCGTTAAATAGTAAAAATGAATTAACTCCCTCTTAATTGTCTCACATAACAATAGATGCCAACTCATCGCACAAACACAATGGCCTGAAAGGTGTTTATTTTTTTAAGTTGGCTTAGTCTTTATATATTAAAGGACGACATTGTTTTTCACACTTTGCGTGACTTTATTATACGTTCTTTGTGGAATCCCTTGCTTCTGGAATTAACAAAGAAAATAAATTGTTTTGAATTTAATATTATTCAACAAGTTACAGCTCAATGATAGGAAATCGTTTCATTGAAGTTAAGCTGTCTTATTAACAAAACATTTTTTTGTTTTTTTTCAGTGAATTTGGATTATTTTCAGATTCTCCGGGCAATTGGAAAGGGAAGTTTTGGCAAGGTAAGTGCAGTATCCTATTTGTAATAGAACAGAACAAAAAATTGTTATTTTTTACTTATCTATTCTATCATTTTTATTACTGCATTGCAGGGTAATTCTTCATTGCATTTTTAGATAGATCTCTGTCTTTCAAATATTATTAAAGGTCAAATATGACCGTTACTGTGTTATCTTTCATCTTTATAGTATAAATTTTAGTTGATATATTTTGTATTTGGAAGTTTTTTATTTTGTATTAGGTAGACTACCACAGCAAACCAAAAAAAAAAATATGTTTACAATACAAAAATAAAGTTAATTGTTTGTAAAAATAGATCAAGTAATGTGAAGCAAACTGAGCTTCTTTTGAAGTATGTAGATTTATAACAAACTTACTAACACCAAGAATCATCTATGATCCAGGGTTGGGGGTGTGCTAGAGAATGAAGTACGTCCAATACAGTTATCTTCGGTGCTTAAAGGGAGCACTCCGGGCAACAATGCAACTTTAATGCATTTGAGGTTTTGGCATCATTTTTGAATGCTCAAATCTTTATAGTTTTTGCACAAAAATAAATATTTTGCAGAGTGCTGCACCATAGGCCTACCTCTTCAGCCACACCTCTCATTCCAGAAAGTCTTCCTTATTAAATGTCTGCACACAGTCTCATCCCCAATAGCATTGAGTGAGCTGTTTTTAATTCACAGCCTAGCTGCAGGCAGTCAGAGAAACTACAAACCGGTAGTGATATCTTTACTACATGTCTCCCTGGGTGTCCTCTCCTTCTAAAGGAGGTTGTGTTGTAGTTTAGAACATTCAGTACTTTCCGTGGCTGAGCTTTGTGTGTATGTTTGATAAGGAAGTCTTTTTCAGGATTGAGGGAGCATAGCTAAAGAGGCCAACTTATGGTGCCGCATTCTGCAAAACTTTAATTTATTTATTTTTAGTGTAAAAATTAGCATGCAAAAAATGCAGCATTTTAATAAGGGCCAAAACATATCAAATGCAAGTTTTATTGGTGCCCAGAGTGTCCCTTTAAGCAGTAAGTCAGCACCAGATTTATCAAATGTACAAATTTGTTCATTTCATCTACGCATTTGCGAAAATCTTGAATTATGAGCACTGAGATTTTTTTTTCCGTTCTGTTCTAACAACTATAGTGTAGCATTTGTACTCAAAGTTTCTGTAGTCTCCAAAACAATAACACGTTTGAAATAATCACCTCATTGATGAATATCCATCCAAGTTATAAGCAGGTTAGAGAGTAAAGAAAAAGTAGAGGAAAATACATATTCTATTTTTGAGGTCACTGTACCGGTAGTATAGTATTAAACCTCCATTTTGTTGTCCAATTGTGTGCATGTTTTCACTCATATTTTCGGTTTCTTGCTTTTATTTGACTTTTTATATGATTATATAAAATGCTGAAATCTCTTTTCTTTTAATATTTTATAAATTAGTAGCTTAGAGGTTTTCTATATTTTACAAACCAGATAAATATATTTTTTTCTGTTGCATAGTTTAGTTTCATTTGTATGGAAATATGTGTCGTAACAGGAGAGCAATTAGCTCTCTAAGTGGTTGATATGTATTACATCAGAATCTAAGGCCCTTACGAACCTCTGTGTTTGTCTTTGTTTATCCTCTCCCACTATTCATGTTCTAAGTAAATAGTGTGCTTGCCCTTGGTTTATATTAATTTAATTTTATATGGATGATACATTAATCATGATGTACATTTTATGGATCTTTAGATTGTGTGAAGCATAGAGTTGAAGAGGTAAATTGGGCAAATAGACAATGGCCTCCACTAATATTGGCATCCTTGGCAAATATGAACAAAGAAGGCTGTGGAAAATTATTTTCTATTTAACCTTTTAAGGTACATAAAAATTGTCTTTTGTTCATAAAATACACAAAGTTACTCTGCTCTCATGGATATCAAAACATTTCAAACACAATACAGGTGTATCCTGGCACACTTACTGGCACTATTCAATAATTTGTGCTATTTCCCTTTGTCAAGATAGCAGCACTGAGTATTCTCCTATAATGCTTGATAAGGCTAGAGAATACATGACAAAGAATCTAAGACATTCCTTTATATAGAATCTCTCCAAATCCTTTAAGTTTCGAGGTTGACGCTGGTGGACTCTCCTCTTCCGTTCACCCCATAGGTTTTTTTTGGGACTCAAATCAGATGACTGGGATGGTCATGTCAGGATTTTGATTTTGTGGACAGCAAACCATTTCGGTGTTGATTTTGATGTATGTTTTGGATCATTGTTGTGCAGGAAGATCTAACCACAACACATTTTAGGTTTTTTGGCAGAGGCAGTCAGGTGTTAATTTAATATGTTAATATTTGCTAGAATCCATGATG